ATCGTGATTATCATCACGACTGTTGGTGATGCAGAGGATGCACGATGATGGTTATCATCCATGATGATGACGATGATGATGACGATGATGATGATGATGACGATGACGAGGATGGTGACGATAATCACCACCATGGGTGATGATGACATGCTCATCATCACATCATCGTTGTTGCGACCTGATTGAAGATGCAGAGGATGCGTAGATGTGATTATCGTCATGACCGCTGGTGATGCAGAGGATGCACGATGATGGTGATGATGACAATGATGACGATGATGACGACGATGATGACGACGATGATGATGATGACACGCTTGTCAGTATATCACATGACGTTAGAGCCGATTGGAGATGCAGAGGGCGCGCAGTCATGATTATCATCATGACTGTTGGTGATGCACAGGATGCACGATGATGGTTATCGTCCATGATTGCAACGGTGATGATGACGCTGACGATGACGATATTGATGATGACGATGATGACGTCAGCGTTATGACCTGATTGGAGACGCAGAGGATGCGTAGACATGATTATCATCATGACGGCTGGTGATGCAGAGGATGCACGATGATGGTTATCATCCATGATGACAACAGTGATGATGATGATGATGACGATGATGATGACGATAATCACCACCATGGTGATGATAACATGCTCATCATCACATCATCATTGTTGCGACCTGATTGAAGATGCAGAGGATGCGTAGATGTGATTACCGTCATGACTGCTGGTGATGCAGAGGATGCACGATGATGGTTATCAACCAGGATGACGATGATGATGACGCTGATGATGACGATGATGACGACGATGATGATGATGACACGCTTGTGAGTATATCACATCATAATCCTTGTCGTGCTTATATCTTCTTATATACGTTAGGGTGACGTTAGAGCCGATTGGAGGTGCAGAGGGTGCGTAGTCATGATTATCATCACGACTGATGGTGATGCAGAGGATGCACGATGATGGTTATCATCCATGATGATGACGATGATGATGACGATGATGATGATGATGACGACCATGATGATGACGATGATGATGACGATAATGACGATGATGATGATGACGATGATGATGATGACGATGACGATAATGAGGTGATGCAGAGGATGCACGATGATGGTTATCATCCATGATGATGACGATGATGATGACGATGTTGACGATGATGATGATGACAATGATGATGATGATGACGATAATGGCCAGTTCATCATCATCATCATCATCATCATCATCACGGTGCTAATCATCATCATCAGTCCCATTAGAGACATGATGTTGTCATCCTTATCTTTTTTCAATACGTTTCAAGGGTAGCGTTAGAGCCGATTGGAGATGCAGAGGGTGCGTAGTCATGATTATCATCATGACTGTTGGTGATGCAGAGGATGCACGATGATGGTTATCGTCCATGATGACAGCGGTGATGATGACGATGACGATGATGATGATGATGCTGCTGATGGTGACGATGACGATGACGATTTGAGATGCAGAAGATGCGTGGACATTATTATCATGATGACTGCTGGTGATGCTGAGGATGCGTCATGATGATTATCATGTCAGTTCATCATCATCATCATCATCATCATCATCATCATCATCATAAAAGCGGTGCATTTTCATGCGAAAGCAAAGCAAAAATGCACCGCACCCTGGCTACAATAGGGGACCCATCGCGGTCCCATTTTGAAGCGGCCCCGTTCATTTCAGCCATTCCCACACTGGTTATGGGGTCGGCGGCACTGGGCGGCAGCCCTTAAATTATAATTCGATTTATCTTTACAGGATTTAATATTTATTGTTGGACTGGAATTCACTTCTCATAGAATTATTTTCTTATATTATTTCATCTTAGTTTATTATTTATTTATAGTTTTCATATTTGGTCTAGAGATTTATTAAGAGAATTAACTAAAAAATATGAAGTCTTATTAATAATCATTGTTCTTCTTTTTGGAAGTTTTCTAGTTTCTGAAGCTCTATTATTTGTATCCTTCTTTTGGACATCTTTTCATTTATTATCTTCTCCAACTTTAGGGATGTGGCCAGGAGAAGCTTTCTATCTTCCAGATCCTTGTGAATTAACTTTTGCTAATACACTTCTTTTATCTAATGCTGCTATATCTCTAGGAAATGCTTTTATTAATAACGAAATTTCATCAGAATATATTATTTTCTTCACTTTATGGTCATTCCTTTTGTCTTCTCTTACGTCACCGGGCATGTGGAGTCCACAAGCAACACACTTAAGGCCGGGCAGGGGCAATTGAAGTAGGACCTTCCAGCACTGACCAGCCCTTCAAGACTCGGCAAGGGAAGTTGCGCGAAGGAGAGCAGGGCGGACCACCGAGGGACAAGGGCAGTGACAACAGGGCGCAGGGGGGGCGCAACAGCCTCGAGTGTGAGGACGACTCACCGACAACGGTTGGACAGGAGCAACTCGGGATACACACGCGCTTCCGCATCCGAGCACCACCAGGTTTGCAGGGAAAGGTCGAGGTCGGCCAAGCGGGTGGTGGCCACCCAAGCCACGGCCACGCGCCCGCAGACCGGCATGCGCTTTCAAGGTCCTTTTTGACGCGGCGCTCTATGCCCGTCCAGTCTTGCGCTTGGGCGAGCCGCAGCTTTCCTTCCTCGACGCTAACTTTGTGGCGCAACCTGAGCGCGTCAGACCAGTTGTGGAGTCAGGCTCGCACCCATCTGGGTCGGGTGTCACTCCTTGCCTCCCAAGTCCCACAAGCTCGTTGTGCTTGCTCCGTTGAGCTCTCCCAAGCTTGTTGCTGTTCAGTTGCAGCGCCTGTCCAGTTCCTGTTGCTCTTCCGCAGTGTTGACGGTCGGCTGTGGTGGACCCAAACCCGTTCAACGTGCGCGCAGCGAGCCAGGGCTGCGCGCAGGCGGGACTTGGCACAAAAGTGCGGAGCATATCGGACGCTGCCAGGTGGGTCGTGCCTGAGGGGTTGAACCACAATGGCTACTGCCCTGCGGAAACCCGAAATATGCACTCTCGCAAAACAAGCCTAAAAGCGAAAGACCCTCAGCTGCCATAGACGAGCCCAGAGAATTGCAATCCCAGAAAGCTAAACCACACACCCACTTTGGGACGTCGTCAAAGCTGACCTCGTGACAGATCTGAATCGGAGCTCAACCAGCATTGAATCACACGGGAGCTGCCCCGTCGTACGCCAGCATTGTGAAAACGAGAAAACCAAGGAACACATCGCCAAAGGGAATGAGCCGGGAACGAAGCCAAGGCGAAGCATGCAATGCACTGCATTTCATGCAGGAGCGAGCTGTCATACACCAGCATTGTGAAATGTGAAACTAAAATCCTCGGAAAAACCCACGGCCAAATTGAAGCGGCAGCGAGCGCTCACCATGCCTCAAACTTGTGAGGTGAGCACCATAGGGCGGACCCAAAAGCGCGGGGCCAGGATCAATTGGCACCTTTGCGGGTAGAGATCTCATCGCGCCGGTTCGAGGGTTTCGGGCCATGGGGCAGGCCCCCAGCGTGGCCCAACGCAACCCGGCAGGCCGGATGCGGCGAGCCGAGAGGGAAGCAACCGCAGTACCCCGACCGTACCCTGAGCGTTGGCCTGTTCGCCCCGCTGACAAGGTACACAAAAGATGCCGCACCCGGGCACGCCGTCGACGCCCGTATTTGCACAGCACCGAGGCAAAAAGGAGCTGCTTTTCGCGTTGGGGCAAGCTGCCGGTTGAAGCTTGGAAGATTGACCACCATGCGCGGAAATCGTAGACGCGCGGCAACTTGCCCGTCGCTCGGCCCAGGCGCATGCGCGGCATGCTCACTGCTGCCTAGCGCGATGTGCACCGCTTGCGCTCGAAAGAACTTGTTCGTGATGTCAACATGACAAGGCCGATTACGCGTATGCAACAAATGTTTTTGCAGGCGTGAGATGCCTCAATCCACTACATCTGTCAGGCCAAACAAACTACTTCAACCGGCTGGAAACCATGGATAATGAATATGAGGTAAGTGGCCAAAGAAACGAACACTTTCCGCTTTTCACACACTCCGAATCACAAAAACTGTGCAAAGCCGAAGACCTCGTTCTCGCCGCGCAGCCACAGGGCGCTTTAAGACAGCGACTGTCTTGCTTTGAAAGAGCTGGGCACAGGGGGAAGAAAACTGCAAGCGGAAGCCATCGGCTCCCACAACAAACTCAGCCAATATGTCTATCATGCTGTCGCGGCTTGAAGCGTCATTCCCTCGCCTCACAGTGCTTGAGACTCTAGCGATGTGCGCAACATTGGTTGACTGTCAGCCCGTGTGAGATGGCAATGTGATAATCAAAGCAAACATCAAGAACTCCCTGACATCATAGGTTCAGCTGGTAGCTGCACTTCAAGATTGCTTCCCAAGAAACACACCTGGTGGCTGCACCTTAAACAGCAGAAAGGGAAAGGCTTTACAAGCAGATAGTGGCAGTAACAAGCTAAGGTGATCGAATGCTTGCTCAGAGTATGAAGGTGAAGGTATTGGGCGGTTGGCTCACTTGCAGCCAGCTGCTTGGGCGCTAGGCTGCAGCGCTCATCAATCTGCTCAGTTGGGGGCGCAGTTTGTATCCAACTCTGCAATTCCTTTTGCGCACCTCGTAGTCAACTCCGGTGTCAAGATTTACATGAATGGAGCTGTTCCAGGGATTCTCTCAGTGGACTTTCTGCGACGAGACCTCGGTTCAGGCCGTTCAAGCGTCGGACTTCGGTCACCTTCGGTTTCGTGACACGTCGTGGCATTTTGCTCGACGCTTCTGACGCGGTTTTACGCAACGCTTTGCTTCGAGCCCAGCTGCACTTTTCACAGGCCCTTCGCCCATTCAGTTCCCGCCGTGCACTCGGGCCACGCTTCAAGCTGTGACACTCATGGGGGATATGCCGATCGGAGCACGACATTGGCGCTGCGATGCGTGCTCAGGAGGCATTGCACGAGCTACCCATCCCTTTCACACTTCGCCCTGGAAATGCAACGCTCCCTGCACGACAAAGAGCCCCCAAGTGAAACCCCTCCATCCGCATGGATAGGTACATAGTCCCAGATTTTCCGGTCACTTGAAAGGCTAAAAACACATTGGCTTAAGGCCGTCTTTACGCTCCAAGAGCAACTCAGATCGTCTCGTTGGAGCCGGAGTTGGGTACATACCAGAACCTTCGCAACAGAGAAGCTCATGGTTTCCTCGTTCCCTGCACACTGAGACTCGGACAACACAGCTATCACCGCGTAGGCAGCACACAAGAGGTAGCCCTGCAGCCAGTTTGACCTTCAGATGCTTAGCGTAAGTTTGTACACAAAGTGAACGGGAAGCAACAAACTCAGCTGCCAACTGTCCATCCACAACCATGGAAAGGACAACTATGACGCTGAGCGTCATTACCTGCTGCGAGCTGCTGGAACTCAAACGAGCCGGATCTGGAGTTCTGAGCACCATGCCGTGACATTGAGAGCTCCAAAGTTCAGGTCCATCCTTGCTCAACATTGTTACATTGTAACATGGTATGGCACGGAGCTTGCTGTCCACGAGAGGCGGACGGGCGGTCGATGCACCACCCAACCAGCACAGAGAACGGGACAACGAAGAGCGCTATCTGCCTTGCAAACAAAAGACTATCTGACAAGAATGCGAACCTAAGGATCCGCAAGCTTCACCCCTCTGAGGCCAGCTACGTTGATGAGCCCACTGCAATACCGATGGACAATCCGGGCTTGTCCTGGCGGGAAGCTTTCACTTGCCCTGCTCTGGCTTTCTGAGAGCCTGTCCTGCATGGCGAACCGCACTGCGGCTGCGTGCTCGCAGGCGTTCCCAACAATGGGAAGAAGAATAATGCCAATGAAGTGTTCGCCTTGGAATTATTCCAAACATCTCTGACAAAGGCAATGTGACAAAGGGCGTATGCAATGTGACTATGAGTGACAAAGGCATCCGCCCATGTGAGCATTCTCCGTCATGTCCTCAATGGAGTCCACCTGGAACCGCTTGAGCTCTCCAATGAAGCTACTCTCTCAGGAGGCCACCAAAAGGTCAGAGCAGAATGCGACGACAGAGGTCATGACGAAGAGCAGAATCTGAAGCCACGACACGCCAAAATGGAAAGGAGCGCGACTCGCTCACTTGGATCATGAAATGATCTCATTGACTCGCGCACCCCAGCGGTGGTGACGGAGATGGAGCCGTCCTACAGTCCGGGTCATTTGGAAGGCAGAGTGAGACATGCCAAATCATGCCAACATGGCCTCCTCTTCCTCCTCATCAACTCCGCCTTCTGCCATGACCTGTGCAGAGCTTCCAAGAGTGTCCGAACTTGGTCCATTGGTACGGTCAGTTGCCATGCAGTCGCTTCTATTTCTATGTGCCCGCTTCTGCGCATCTCTGCCTCTGTCAGTGGGCCAGGCCTCGCGGTGTGTGAAAAGCTGGAAGATGATGTACCTGTGAGCACCCAAGCATTCAGCATATTCAGCATATTCAGCATATTCAGCATATTCAGCATATTCAGCATGCTCTGATTCTATCTCGCCTCTAGCCCAAACGCAAGCGTTGGGGCATGTGGGGCACGCAGCATACGCGGAGACGATGATAATAGAGCATGTTCGCGAGACGGGAAGCATAACTTCCTGCCAATTCCACCAGTTCCTTGTCTTAATATCTTCCTTCACCTTCCTTCCCACTCGAGTTGCAAATGTCCTCCAAGCTTTCGCGGTCCATGCCGTACTGCTCCGACATCATGGTGCCGAAAACAGTGACCTCGGGCACAAATCCAAGTTGGGCAAGCAAAGTCGAGAGCTGAGTGCTGCGCCAAGGTGAAAGACAAGCAGGATAAGAGAAGCATAGAAGTGTTCACCTGGATCCAAGCGGATCTGACACAAGATTGATCAGACAAGACCTCAACGCCCGCTTGTCAAATTGTACGTTGCAGCTGTTAGCTGTTTACGAAGCCAGCTCCAGACTACGCCTGTCAGAGACTGCTCGTGTGGCAGCTTAGGCGGCTGCAATTTGGGTTGCTAGAGAGTGCGTTGGCCGGGAACCGATTTATGTTCTGGCAGCTACTGATAGGTGTGCTGAGTTTATCAGAAGTGTGATTAAGAACGATAGGGCAGCTGCGGAACGTCGGAGAACTGGTAAATGCGGGTTGGTCAGCCGCAGGGTTGCGTGAGTACGTGTATCTTGGCCAGGACGCTTAGGGTCCCTCGGATTGGAATGGCAGCAAGCCAAAAACTACTGGCCGGATTGGGCAAGGGCCAACGACAAGGCCTGCGAGCCACGGGCCAGCGGCTTGCTCTGCTCAGGGGATGATTTGCGGGAATTTTGAATCACCGGTGAGGTTTCTACTGGAACTGCTTGATCGAAAAGCTTCCTCTGATCAGCGATGGTGTTACTTTCATCAAAGCTTACAACTTCATAGGGCTACTTACTTGATCAAGTGTGGCGGTGTGATTCGGACAGTGTACTTGCTGACTGAATCAGCCCCAGGCTTGCTTCGTGATCAAGATTGGGGGGCGGACTTCGTCACTATGTGCTTACTTCCTGATCAGGCTAACTAAGCATGGGGATCTTGTTTGGGGCAGGGTGTACTTGTTTGATCGATGGTCGTCGGGGGGCAAATGCATAGTGCTTGCACGTCTGCCCCTTGCCCACTCTAAGGGGCGCACCATGGCGCCTAAGATCTTGAAGGTCTGCACCTCACGCGCCGAAACCGAAACAACCGAAACTGAGTTGTTCTTTGTTGCCTTCGGCTCAATTCGCCGGCCTTCTCTGCAACAACGCTGAAGCCCCCAGTCTCCTCCTTCTCCAAGGCCGCTGTGTCCTCGCGGGAATCGTGAGAATTGGGAGCGCCCTGGGTTCCGGCTCCTTCTGCTTATCTTTGTTGACGTTCACCTAAGCAACACGACGCAACGCGAACTACAAGAAGCCACGAGTTGCTGGAGCCGCACTCGGATCTCAGCGCCGCGCCAAGCCGCCAAACAAAAACGACATGCCCAGTACGAGTAGCACGTTGGAAAGCACTGAGCCTGACAACCCAGGCTGGAAGCGAGGTCTGAGGTGTGGCTGTTGACTGCTCAGCACTGTGCACCTCTCTTGTGCCAGCTGACCCTGGCCTAGTAGAGTGGCCTTGACTACAGCGTACAGCCCGCCACGCAGAGTCTGCACCTGAAAAGCGAGGCTGTGTCCGGAAGCCAACTGTGCCCTGCGCGCGCCGTGATCACCATCTCCACTGCATTCCCGAAGGTTGCCTCAGTGGAAGCCTCTCCCAAGGCCGGGCAACGCTAAGCATTCAAGGCGTTCGAGGCGTTCATTCAAGGCTCGGGGGGACAATGGGGCAACGGGACGGGACTAGACGTCCCATCGCCTCGCTCGCTTTGGGCTCCCGGCGTTGATGAGGCCTGCTAGAAGATCGTTGCGGAGCCCGGCCGCCAGCTCCTGGCGATCCCGAAGCTTCCGAAGCGTTCGAAGCGTCCGAATCTTCCGAAGCTTCGCTTCCTCTGTGATGTCGCCGAGAATCTTCGCCATCGGTAGCATGGCCTGGATTTTCAGCGCAAACCCTGGTTTTGTCCGATGTGTGGCGGCTGCAGGCGAGCAATCATGGCAGTAGCACAAAGAAGTTTAGCCAAAAGGTGTAGGCAGCATTCCACCTTGCAAGCGCACAGCGCGGGCAAGCCATGGGCACTGCACGCCAAGGACGGGGCTTGGCGTAGTAGGACCAAATGCCGAACGGCACACATAGGAGAAAAATACTCAGCCTTGCACAGCACGCAAGGCCCGGTGCAGTGTGACTGGATTCAACAAGCCAGCTGTGCGGATGCTTGAAGATGGCGATCAGCCCAGTGCCTGCCCAGCATGCAAACCAGCTCCACCAGTTAAGTCTGAGTGCACCTTCGAAGTTGGGCGGCTTCTTGGCATTGGTTCCCTTCACGAACCTGGCGCAATGCATGCCTCTTCGCTATCCTGGCTAGCAGTGAGAAGGGCGCAGGCCCGCACCTCGTCGTGTTGTGCCGCTCTCCTCTCCTAAAAACGCCTTCTTCCGCCATACCCAACGCGCCCGACCGGGAAAGGTGAAGAGAAGTGACCTGAAGGCCTTATGCGGTCTGAGATCTAAGACATTGACAGTATGTTGTTTTGCGGGCTGGGAAACGTTTTGTTTCTTGAGAACGTTCAGGCATGCAGCTTCACGGCACTGGCAACCTGTGCAAAGCCAATTCAGCTTCACGCAGCTCCCATTTCTTGAAACCGATTCTGGAAACTTCCTGAAACCCCATTTTCAGGAAGCGAAACTCTGTGGAGACACTGCGCCAACTCGGGTGGCAGTGGCTCCGTGACGCTTTGCCAGGCCCCTTTGTCCTGGAACGCCAACTGGCCCCTGTGGAGAAAGTTCCTGGGGCACCACGAAGAGTCGTCTTGAAACGTTGCTTGGGAGCTGTACTTCCCGTCACTCACCAGCGCATGGCCCACGAAGGCGAAATGGCTGCGGATTTGATGGCGGCGGCCGGTGGCGATGTCCACCGACACCAGGCTCACCGCCGAGCCACGAGTCCCGGGCCCGCCTCCGGCGTGAGCCCGCCACTCCACGCGGGTCTCCGCCAGCTTCCCGCGGCCCGCCCGGGTGACCAGCGGCAGCCCGTCAGCGTTGGCTGTCCACGCCACCGGGGCACGGATCACGCGGCGCGCGCGCGCCCCGCCGTGGCAGAGCGCCACGTAGCCGCGGTGCAGGCGGCCCGCCGCCAGCTGCGCCTGCAGAGTGTGGAAGGCCTCGTAGGTCTTGGCTGCCAGGACCAGCCCCGAGCTGGGCACATCCAAGCGGTGCAGGAACCCGTGAGAACATGACGCGTCCAACTTGGCTCCGAGCAAAGACAGGAGCTGGGGCGAGCCGCCACTCTCGCTCAGGTCATGTACCTGCCAGCCGCTTGGCTTGCTCAGTGCTACACAGTTCTCAGACTCATAGACCGCAAACGGCCCTTCTGCCTCAGCTTCGGCCACACTATCCCTTGTGCAGCTGTGGTCCAAACTTCGACCGTACTCTGCCAACGCCGCGTATGCACGCTCGTAGAAGGAAGGCATCATGACCTCTCTGCTGGACCATATGACACCCAGAAGGCTTCGGATGAACTCTTTGGACAGCTTTGCAGACACTCTGCTGGCCATTTCGCGCTGAATCCGCTGCAGCAAATGCGACACCATCGTGACCCGGGAAGCACAGCAGCCCCATGCCACGAGCATTAGCTCCCGGTGGCTGCACCTCGGCAGCACCTGGACCGTCACATCGCAAAGCCGCTGGAGCCGCCGCTCCCCGCCCTCGATGCCCAGCACTGCCTTGGCCCACCAAAGCGCCGCCAGCTGCGCCGGTCGCCGCTCCATCGCCTCCATCGCTTCCACGAAGGCAGCGTGCAGCGCCCCAGCCGACAGCAGCGAAGCCTCGCTGGCGCCGCGAACTTCTTCTGCTTCTTTTCCTCCGGCTTCTTCTTTTCGGAGCTGTGCGCCTGCGGCCACCAGCTGGGCCAAGGCCCAAACACGGTCCACCGCGGACCGCCGCGGCCCTGCGCGGCGCTCCTCCAGCAGCACCGCCACCGCCGCCTCCCGCTGCTCACTGCTGACGCAGGTCTTCAGCGCTGCGGAGAAGCAAAGAACGTCGGCCACCCGAGCCAACGCCAGGTCCCCCAACAGGCTCAGAGCCAGCTGCCATTGGTGGCTATGTTTGCACAGCTCGATGCACTTGGTCTGCCCAGCCAATTCGATGCCAGACACATTGTGCAGGCGTCGTTCCTTGAGGGATTGCAAGGCCAACCTCCAGTTCTCTGCAGCCACCATAAGGCGCCAGGTGCTTTGATCTGGCTTCAGACTGCGCTTTGAAAAACGCCACAAACAACTCAGCGCTCGCTTCCAGTCTGCAGAGCTGATCACAACGTTGAAGCTGATGATGTCGGGCTGCAAGAGAGCTAAAGTGAGGCTTCGAAGTCCAGTGAAGGTCTTTGCCCATTGCTTGGCTTTGGCACACGCGCTGAGCACGGCATTGCACGAGAACAGGTTCGGCTTTGTGAACCGCAGCGCGCGTTGCCAGAGGCTGACCCGCTCGCAGGCGCTGGCGGCGATGCTGAAGCTGCATGCGTCTGGCCGAGAGCCGCCGAGAGGCATCTCTGCCAAGAGCCGAAGCGTCGTCGCCCAGTTGGAGCTTGAGCTCAGCGCGCCATTCCACAGCCGCGAGGTCCGGGAGGTCCGCAAGGCCCGGCTCCGCTCCATGGCTCGCCATTTGCACACGGTGAGGGAAGTCGCACCTGTCGCAGATTCAGCGTCCAGTTGAAGCAAGACCCATCGACTCACACGGATCACAGGATCTGCTCAAGTCGTGGCATCTTTTCTACTCAAAGCAGACTGGTTTGTTTGCGTGACGCGGCTGAGCAAGGCGCGCATCTAAAGAGCGAAACTTGGCAGACTGCTATGATGTGCTCGTTGGCACTCTCACGAAGCTCACTTTGGCTGCAACATCTTTCGCAACTTCACTAGTCATCCTCTTCTTCCAAATCATCCAAATCATCTGCATCCTGAGGCAAATCATGATGCTCATGTCGAGAATTGTGGACCTGGCCTCTCCAAACAAAGCAGCATCGTAGACCAGAACATCGGACCTGGCTCTCAAAGCTTCAAAGAAAACACTTTGGGAGGCTTTGAGAGCTCCGCTTGTCTTTGTAGCCATCGCTTTTGCCTGGATCCGACATCCACCTCTGAGGACCTCATCGGTCCTCTCCTTCCTGGCCTTCCTGGCCTTGGCCTTGACCTTCCGCCGTGAAGATCAGCTTTCCCGTCCTGACGCCGCTTCGCCGCTTCGCCGGCTCGCCGGCTCGCCGGCTCGACGCGCTGCTCCTGGCTTTGGTTTCATCCCGCTTCAGCAGGCCGATCTCAACCATCTCCGCATCGAACTTCACCTTAAAAGCAACCAAAGCAACCTTCTCTTGCTCCATGCATGATTCGCTTCCTGCAATGTGCTTTCTGCAGATCGAGTGCACTCGCAAGTACACTGGTATCTTCACCATGGCCACATGCCTCACATGCCTCGCATGCCTCGCATGCCTCACATGCCTAAGGTTTCAAACAATGTCAGGCTTGCACCTTCCAGGCACCGAAGGTCTCGGGCGTGACGCGTTCATTCTCCGGGCAGAGCGTCTTCTCTGTCAAACCTGGTCGCGCTGAACTCAGCTCCAAACGGAGACGGCTGTTCAGGCTGTTCATATGCCCGCGCAATGCGATCAATTGAATCAAGCTGCCCTTCCATTCCGGCTCTTCCTCCTCCTCATCCTCCTCATCCTCATCCTTAAGTGTCTACAGTGACCATCATGCTTTGCGAGCACACCGCACGAACGGCCTCTTCCTCATCTTCACCGCCCTCCTGTCATTGGACCACGGTTCGCTTGCCAGCGCGTAAGCATGGGAGCCATGAAAACTCGCGAGCACATACTGGGCAAAAAGATTCGACGCTCACGCGGTACCTCGGCTGCTTGACGCAGCATCATCTGCTCGTGCATGGACAGTTCTTTCTGGTTGTTCTCCTTCAAAAAGTCCTCAGCGAAAGGATCGTCGAGCTTGGCTCAAGTTTAAAGCAGTAAACGGAAGACAAATATGGCCGGGATAAGTCAGCGTAGCTCAATGTGAAGTGGCCCAGCAGTCCTGGCACGCTTCTGTCACAGAGTAGATCATGGCCATGCCAATCGAGGATTCGATCGTCTCCTGGAGCTGGCTGATCCATGCAAAGGAGCCAATAGGATCCAATCAAAGCGTAGATGCAATCTGATGCACCTCCACGTTCTTCTGCAACAGCTCCAGCTTCTCGTCGCCCAAGCCTTTCACATCCTGTTCGCCAGTGCGCAACAAATTCTGCAAACATCGAGCTTGCAGTCTTGCAGTCTTGCAGTCTTGCAGTCTTGCAGTCCTCCAGCTTCCAGTCAGGAGCCTCATCTGGGTAGGTATCCGTGTAAGTTACGTGAAGGGTCACCTCCACGTAATTCTCCTGCAATGCAATCCGGAGTAGAAGCGATGGCAGCTGCGTAACTGAACGCCCATCCTCCTCCCCAGCTGGAAAGGGAAGCAACTTGATGGTGAACCTTTCTGCTCTTGGCTCGATTTCTCAAGTCTCAACTTGAGGGCCAAACTCTCGGCTGGAGATGCTGACGAACTCCTTGTCGAAGATCGACTGCAAAGCCTCGTGAGACGAGTTGGCGAGGCGAGTTTGCTCCAAGGCTCTCGAGAGCCTCGATCTCCAAGGCCTGCTCTTCCTGAGCGACAAACTCAACTCGACACGCACTCAACTCGACTTGCAAAGGCCTCGTGAGCCATCAGCGAAGCTGCACCATCACGCACGTCAGATTGCCTCTCTTCTCAATGTACATCGCTCCTGAGACCTAGCTGCCTGCAAAGGTTGCTGGCTTGTCTCCTGGTTTCCGTGCCACCTGGCTTCCTTGCTTCCTTGCTTCTTTGCCTCCTTGCTTCCTGCTTTCCGTCTTTACATCCTTCTTTCTCTGCTTGCTTGCTTGCTTGTTGGCTGGACCACTTGCTTGATGGTGCCAATTGGTTCTCATAAACCAAGGCCAAAACTCTCTGGCGGCATGTTTGTTCCAAGCTACAGCCTCTCGTCCAGGAATTCGCAAGCGCGCCGGCAGATCCAAGCACCGCAGACTGTGCCTAAAGTCGAAAATACATCATGCAGGAGCCAATACAACAACTCTTGCATGGATAAGCATAGTCACACAAGGCAAAGCAAGCAGGATTTTACAGATTCGGACCGCGAGACGGTCAAGTGATGGCTGGAATGCAATTCCAAACTAGCTGCTGTTGCAGCTGCCCACATCGAGACCACCACTTCGTGGTGCAGTGAGACGAGCTACGAAAGGCACGAATGATTACGAGCGATTTCTAAAGTATGCGCAGCATGCATTGAATTGATCAGCCGCCACGATAGGGTGCGGATGACCTTCGAATCGAGGCGAAGCGTCCTGGCATGGGCAATGGGCGCAAGTTGATTCAAGTGAGCGCAAGTGAGCGCAAGTGAGCGCAAGTGAGCATGGGACCCCTGGGAGGAAGGACGTGAGGCTCAGTTGGGCGCCTAGGAAGCCGCGTGGCCCTGAGGGCCCTGAGGGCCCTGAGGGCCCTGAGGGCGCTGGTGCCTGGCAGCTTGATTCTCTTTTAAGAACTCAGCAAGTGTCCATGGAGTCCATGAGTTGACAACGCGCTTGGAATCAAAACTGATGCCGGCCCGCCTTGCTCTGAGCTGCTTGAGCCTGCATTGAATTCACTGCCTCTTGGACCGCTGTTGCATTGGCCTCCAAAGATTCAGCGTACAGAACCTTCTCCTCAGCCTCAGAGCCTCGGGGAAGGTTTTGTGCTTGGTTTCGTGTTTCGGGAAGGTACCTGTCATGTATGAGATGTGTATGATATGTTTTATGTTCATGATACGTGTAACATGCTTATAATGTTTGATTTAATCTTTGAACTTCTCAGATCGGATTTGTACGAAGCTCCCGGACGGAGCTCGCCTTCGTCCGAAGACTCCACAAGCGGCGCTTGAAAGCTGAGCCTGGCAGGCTCACGTATGCACCGGTCGGTCGCCCACCGCGGCTTGCCTGTCTGGCACCAGGGTACCAAAGCCTCAGCTCAGAAGGCAAGATTGAAAGGAGAGACAAAGAACCAGAGCGCCAGACTTGCTCTGCTGGGCATCATAGTGTCAAAGCTCTTCCTCAAGAGAGCGCACTCAGCCCGCTCAGCCCGCTCAGCCCGCTCAGCCCGCTCAGCCCGCTCAGCCCGCTCAGCCCGCTCAGCCCGCCTGTCTGGAACAAGTGTGCTGAAGCTTCCCCGGTCCTTAGTCGCGCTGCCAAGCCCAGCGCTCTTCATCGAAGGAAGGCCCCTCACTGGCACCAAGGTGCGGAAGCTGGCCCGATCCTTACACTGACGCATAGAGACGTGCAATGGGAGCCATGGGAGCCATGGGAGCCATGGGAGCCATGGGAGCCATGGGAGCCATGGGAGCCATGGGAGCCATGGGAGCCATGGGAGCCATGGGAGCCAAGCAGGAACCAAAGTAGCAAAGCTATCCCGACCTGCTGTCGCCTCAGGCGCGACGTCAGTGGCTCTCACGCCTGTCTCGTGACATCGAGACCTCGGCATGGCTCCCGGCCAAGGGAGGACTTGTTAAGGACTCCATCGGGAACTCCTTCGTCTGAAAAGCCTCCAGCCGTGGGAAAGCTTCGTCAACGCAATCACGCCGTGCCTGAGAGGACGAAGGGTCTGAAGGCTCTGGCACCTTGCAGGATGGGAGCAGAATTTATTTCTGCATGCTTTTGTGTTTTTTCTATCTGTGTGTGTGATTTCTTCTTGGGGCACTAAAGCGTATGTTGTAGAGTCTTGCGGGTAGGGAAATCCCAAGACATGTTCGGCCTTAGCCACAAGACTCTTTGCTTGGAAAACTCGAGGTTGTTTGCATGTTTTGGGAAAGTGTAGCTGTTCAAACAAGGCCAAAACAACTGTCAGACCCGAACTCAGCCGATATCGATACACAGGGTCTGAAAGGTTGTTTTGCTTCCTTTTTGGAAACTCCGTGTGTTGCGCGTGTTTGGGTTAGCATGAGAAACCTTGAGCCGCCCAAAAACCAGAACCCAACTCAGCCAACATGAATGCATAGGATCTGAACAATGCGCGGGCATCAAACAAGACATATGCGCCCAAATGCTCAATGTAAGCTAGGCATACCCTTAGTAGACACCCGCTAAAGAGCTGAACATATTATACTGTTCATGAACTACGATATGCACTAGACGTGCTAGACACATGCTAGGCATATGTATACAAGGCAGCTGCAATGTCCATTCACTCAAACTACAGTGAAATTGCTGTGTTTCAAAAGCTCAGGCTCACGGGGACCCGCTCTCAATGGTTTTGGGATCGGTTTCGGCCAATGGAACAACTGTGCGGCACCTTGCACCATCCTGGCAGCCTACAGCGAAGTACTCTCTCACCACTCTAAAACCAGCGGACACAGCCACCAATGGAATTGGCGCGTTGCCAAAACAACCCTGATTATTGCGATGACGACGGTGACGGCAGCGACAATCAGGATGCTGATGGATGATGCTGAAGATGCTCATGATGATGTTGATGATGGTGCTCATGATGTTGGATGATGCTTATGATGCTGATGACGCTGATGATGCTGGTGATGCTGATGATGCTGGTGATGCTGCTGATGCTGCTGATGACGATGAAGATGAAGATGATGAGGATGATGCTGCTGATGATGATGATGATCATGATGATGATGATCACTGATGATGATGACGATGCTGATGATGATGATGACGCTAATTGATATGACAAGGATGGTGATGACGCTGATGACGATGATGACGCTGGCGATGAAGACGATGATGCTGATGATGATGATGTTGATCATGCTGATGATGATGCTGACCATAATGCTGATGATGCTGATACAATGAAGATGACGATGACGATGATGATGCCTGATGATGCTGATGATGCTGATGACAATGATGATAATGCTGATGCTGATGATGATACTGATAATGATGAAGGTGATGATGAAGACGATGACGATGATGATGATGATGATGATGATGCTGATGCCAAAATTGATGATGCTGCCTGCTTATGTTGATGGGTGCTGGTGCTAGGGGTGCTGGTGCTAGGGATGCTGGTACACCCAGTGTGTGTGTGTGTAGCTCCTTTGCAGGAGCTACAACGTCCAGTAAAAGCAACAAAGGCCACGCATCCCCGCCGCCATCACTTCTGTCACAGCAAGCTAAGAAGCATCCAATTTTCGGCACTGATATAAAAATCTGATCGGTGAAGCTCAGGTGGATTGGGAACCAAACTTGATATGCGGGTGCTCGGCCCGATTTGCTGGCAAGGGTTAGTCTTTGGTCAGAACTACCTCAGCCTAAACCCTAAGTCAAGTCATCAGCACACAAACAAATCAAATCCCGAGCTTTTCACAAGCTCTGCACTCCCCAAATCGATCCCCAAAGGGTCCGCACAAGCCATCAGCTCGCTGTCTCTCAACAGCCACCCCCCCCCAAAACAAATGGAAAAAACGCGTGGTTGCAGAATCAGCTTTTTGCTTTGAGGGACGACTCAACGGCTCAGCTCAACACAGGAACGATGGAGGCCTGGCGAAGCGAACAAGCGTGTCTCAGTTGGCTCTCTGCAGGCTCTCTGCGCGTGCCGCCTCCGGCGAGTCATCTCTGACCGAGGGAGTGCAGCAGCACTGCCTTTACCAAAGGCCCGAGAGAATTGCCAAAAGAAAAAGATCAAAAGCAAAAGAATGGAAAAGAATGGAAAAGAATGGAAAAGAATGGAAAAGACTGGAAAAGGCAGAAGAAAGAAAAGCAAAATAATGGACCCCTTGATATTGAGCTTCGGCTCTGAGCTCCGAGCGATTGTCCCATGTCCGATCGCTCACTTCGGCCCACACGGCGATGTCCGCGGGTTCAAGGTCAACGAATGACATCAACTCTCGGCTGGTCGGCGTCTCGCAAATCTCTGGCAATCGCAACATATGGTTTCAGTATTCTGGCCGGATGAACGGACTTGCCTGTACAGCAGTGGCTTCGGAGTCAATGCAGTTCCGCGAACATCATCCTGCAACAAGAAAGCGCTTGCATCTCAATTTTGCTCGCACACCGGCCCCCATTGCGGTGAGACTTCGGCATGGCTAATGGTGAGCCTTTGGCTCATCTTGTTAACGGCACAGCAAAGCAGCGAAGATCGCATCCGCTTTTTGGGGCCGCTTTGATGTGCCTCCGGGGCTGCATCCTACATCCAGAGCGAGACTCTCAACCCAGGACGCTTGACTGGACGCAGCTCCCGGCTTCCAAAGGAATTAGCGCTACCCATCAAACAGGCAGGTGAAACTTGCAAAGCTACAAAAAAAGCGCTACAAATATTACAAATCATACTGACTACTGGACAGCGGGACTCTCAGAGGAAACGAACCACCACCGTTATGTCATCCGTGTATCCGGCCTGCCCACAAGCAGAAACACAATGGGCATGGGAAGACTCAAGGCCTGCAGGGCGCGGTGATTCCATCGAAGGTATGCCTCAGAAACAGAACCATCAGCCCGCTCAGTGTACCACACCCACGCCTCCTGTGACAATGCCAGGGCAGGATCTGCCCCCTGCTGGAAACTCTGCCATGCCAGATTCACCTGGCGGCTAAGCCCACGTGCTCAGGCGGAAACACTCCAACAAGCAGCGAACTGATGTACTGGATTTACTACTCAAGGGAATTTGCCGACTTCTGTTTGGCCCGGTCTCACAAAACAACAAAAAGGAAAACGCAGCAACGGATCTTGCTGAGCTGTGCTCCGTTGCAACCGCTCAATCACAAGAAGCGGCAGTGAAAGGCAGCCCTGTCGCCTTTCCGAACCTAAAAACCTACGCTCTGCCACTGGGGGGCCAAGGACTATGCGGGCAAGATGTTGAGCACAAAATCAATGGCAAATGTGTGCAGCGTGCGTGTCACAAATGTGCGACAAGTGTGCCTGCAACAGCTCACACGTGCGTGCGCGTGCGCGTGCGCGTGCGCGTGCGCGTGCGCGTGTGGGTGCGCGCGCGTCTGCGCCTGCGCCTGCATGTGCGTGCGTTTGGGCGTGTGCGTGTGCGTGTGCGTGTGCGTGTGCGTGCATCGGCGTGCGCGTGTGCATGTGCATGTGCATGTGCGTGTGCGTGTGCGTGTGCGTGTGCGTGTGCGTGTGCGTGTGCGTGTGCGTGTGCGTGTGCGTGTGCGTGTGCGTGTGCGAGTGCGAGTGCGAGTGCGAGTGCGAGTGCGAGTGCGAGTGCGAGTGCGAGTGCGAGTGTGCGAGTGCGTGTGCGTGTGCGTGTGCGTGTGCGTGTGCGTGTGCGTGTGCGTGTGCGTGTGCGTGTGCGTGTGCGTGTGCGTGTGCGTGTGCGTGTGCGTGTGCGTGTGCGTGTGCGTGTGCGTGTGCGTGTGCGTGTGCGTGTGCGTGTGCGTGTGCGTGTGCGTGTGCGTGTGCGTGTGCGTGTGCGTGTGCGTGTGCGTGTGCGTGTGCGTGTGCGAGTGTGCGTGTGCGTGTGCGTGTGCGTGTGCGTGTGCGTGTGCGTGTGCGTGTGCGTGTGCGTGTGCGTGTGCGTGTGCGGGTGCGGGTGCGGGTGCGGGTGCGGGTGCGGGTGCGGGTGCGGGTGCGGGTGCGGGTGTGTGTGTGTGTGTGTGTGTGTGTGTGTGTGTGTGTGTGTGTGTGTGTGTGTGTGTGCGCGTGCGTGCGTCGTGCGCAGCGTCGGCGTGCGTGCGTCGTGGTGCGCGCCCTGTAAGCGTGCGTGTGTGCGGGGGCGGGGGCGGGGGCGGGGGCGGGGGGGGGGGGGGCGGGGGGGCCTAGGGGGGGGGCGGGGGGGCGGGGGGCGGGGGGGGGGCGGGGGGGGGGGGGGGCCGGGGGGGTGGGCGGCGGGCCGGCGGCGAGCGGGGCGGGGGGGGTGTGGTGGGGGTGTGTGGTGGTGTGTGGGGGTGTGTGGGGGTGGTGTGGGGGTGGTGTGGGTGTGTGTGTGGGTGTGGGTGTGTGTGGGTGGTGTTGTGGTGTGTTGTGTAATTGTGTGTTAAGGTGTGTGTAAGTGTTGTGTAAAGTGTGGTGTGTGTGTGTGTGTGTGTGTGTGTGTGTGTGTGTGTGTGTGTGTTTAAGTGTGTGTGTGTGTGTGTGTGTGTGTTTAAGTGTGTGTGTGTGTGTGTTTAAGTGTGTGTGTGTGTGTTTAAGTGTGTGTGTGTGTTTAAGTGTGTGTGTGTGTTTAAGTGTGTGTGTGTGTTTAAGTGTGTGTGTGTGTGTGTGTGTGTGTGTGTGTGTGTGTGTGTGTGTGTGTGTGTGTGTGTGTGTGTGTGTGTGTGTGTGTGCGTGGGTGCGTGTGTGTGTGTGTGTGTGTGTGTGTGTGTGTGTGTGTGTGTGTGTGTGTGTGTGTGTGTGTGTGTGTGTGTGTGTGTGTGTGTGTGTGTGTGTGCGTGTGTGTGT